GTTCGCAAACCCTAAACCCTAAACCCTAAACCCTAAACCCTAAACCCTCGCCAGCCTCACCATCTTGCCGGTCTGCTGCGTTGCGGGCTGCGCGGGCAAAAAGTTGCCCCGAGGGGCTGACTAAATGGAAAAGAAGAACAAAATTAAATTAAATTAAATTAAATTAATTAAATTAAATTAAATTAAATTAAATTAAAACTTCAAAAGCATTTAAAACGCCGCTGCTGCTCTCCGCCGCCTCGATCCGCGGTGTCTAGACACCGCAGGGTCACCTGCAGCCCCGCAGACCCGAGGGGCCCCACAAGGGTTTAGGGTTTAGGGTTTAGGGTTTAGGGTTTGAGGGCCTTGTTGCATTTGAATTTAACAATCTTTTAGCGATTGTTTCAAAAAGAAAAGAAATTGTTTAAAGTGGAGCACTTCCCGAGAGAGTCTTTCTGCTGCAGCTCGGGTGTACAGACACCTGAGCTGCAGCAGTGAAACTCTAGGGTTTGAAGGCCTGCAGCAGCAGATAGGGAAATAAAAAGAAGAAAAGAAGTTTTATTTAATTAAATTTAATCTTTTCCATTTAGAATTTTATTTAAATTTGAACTTTTCCTCCATTCTGAACTGAGCTTGCTGGGGTGTACCTGCACCTCCCAGTGTATGTACACCTCGGCGAGCATTGGGTCCTGCTGCTGCCGCTGCTGCTGCTGCTGCTGCTGCTGCTGCTCAATTACAGCTATGCAGGTGCCTAAAATGCAAATACAGTGCTGCTGCTGCTGCCGCTGCTGCTGTTGCTGCTGCTGCTGCAGCAGCAACTCCGCAAATGCCTTAATTGCTCTAACCCAACAGCTGCAACAAAACCAGCAGCTTTTTAAACAGTAATTTCAAAAGGGCCTCAAGGCCTGTGCTGTGGGGCCCCAGGAAGTACCCAGGGCCCCCTGTGGGGCCCCACAGCAGCAAAAAGCAGCATTAAGAAATGCCCCAAATCAGAGCCCTGGGGGCCCCCTAGGGCCCCCTTAGGGGGGCCCCTGGGGCCCCCTGAGGGGCCCCACAGTGCCCTGGGCCCCTCAGGGTACCCCTCAAGGGGCCCCCGGGGGCCCCTAGCGTTTTCCAGGGGCCCCACAAGGGTTTAGGGTTTAGGGTTTAGGGTTTAACCCCAGAATGAGGTATTGAGAGTCCTGTGGGGCCCCTGGGGGGCCCCCTGTTGGACCCTTGGGGGCCCCCAGGGGCCCCTCTGGGGGCCCCCAGAAACTAAATATGCAACCTGAATTGCTTTTGCAAAAAAGGAAGCAGCAAAGAGGTACTTGCGCTTTGCTGCTGCTGCTGCTGCTGCTGCTGCTGCTGCTGCGGCTGCTGCTGCGGCTGCAGCAAAGGCTGCAGGCCATCGGCGCGCCAGACTGGCAGCAGCAGCAGCAGCAGCGGAACTTGCTGCAGCCGTGGCTGGCGCAGCAACTCTTCTGAAACGAGCTCTGCTGCTGCTACTGCAGCAGCAGCTCCAGCTGCTGCTGCAACAAATGCTGTTGCTGTTGCTGCTGTTGCAGCGACTGGCAGCTGCAGGAGCTCTTGCTGCTACTGCTTCAGCATGGCACGCTGCTGCAGAAGCAGCAGCAGCAAAGGCTGCTGCAGCAGCTGCAGCAGCTGCAGCAGCTGCAGCAGCTGCAGCAGCAACTAGGTAGTGGTTATTTTGTAAGAAACTCCGTTCTCGCGAGTTAAGACCCAAACTGATTTCTCTTTATGATACAAAGAGACCGTTGAAATCACCTGCGCGCCCCACCCTAAACCCTAAACCCTAAACCCTAAACCCTAAACCCTCAGCGCCCCACCTCGCAGCCCTCACCCTAGCCTTCACCAAGTAAACCCTAAACCCTAAACCCTAAACCCTACACGCCTACAAGAAGGCGGCACTCTGCAAGACTGCCAAGCTCCCAGCAACAGCTACCGCTGCGGCTGCCGCTCCCGCTGCTCCTGCTGCCGCTGCTGCTGCTGCTGCTGCTGCTGCTGCTGCTGCTGCTGCTGCTAGACTAGGGCTTACGTGCAAAGGCGACTGCCACAAAATGTTGGGGGGCAGCCGCGGCAGCTCGAGGACTCCGCTGGATTTGCTGTTGGCCCCCCAAATGCCCCCTAAGAAGCCTGCGCCGCTCAGCTGCAGCAGCAGCAGCAGCAGCAGCAGCAGCATGTGGCAGCAGCAGCATGTGGCAGCAGCAGCATGTGGCAGCAGCAGCAGCAGCAGCAGCAGTAACGCCGCGCAGCGAAGGGTAGCTGGCAGCAAACAGGCGCCGTTCAAGCAGCAGCAGCAGCGGCAGAGGCAGTCGCAGCAAATGCACAGGTGCCTTCGGCAGCAGCAACAAGAGCAGCAGCTGCAGCAGCAGCAGCAGCAACAGCAGCAACAGCAGCAGCAGCAGCAACAGCAGCAGCAGCAGCCTCACATGCCACAGTCTAACGGCAGACTCAGCAGCAGAGTAAGAGGCGATCCAGTGCCCGTCATCGCTAAACCCCAGCGCGGCGACGGCTCCTGAAGAGCAAACCCTAAACCCTAAACCCTAAACCCTAAACCCTAAATACTTAAACCCTAAACCCTAAATACTAAACCCTAGACGCCAGACCCCAAATCCTTAACCCTAAACCCTAAACCCCGTGCACAAGAAAGCTCCCGCTACGCTCGCGCTATTCAGGGAGACAAACGCCAAGCCTGACAAGCACTAGGGTTTAGGGTTTAGGGCTTAGGGTTTAGGGTTTAGGGTTTAGGGTTTAGGGTTTGCCTTGGTGGCCTTCGAAAACCCTCATTTTTGTGGCCGTCCGCAGATCGTAGGCAACGACAACTCCCTCCTCCGTCCCCACTGCCAGCCTGCACGCGAAGCATTAAACCCTAAACCCTAAACCCTAAACCCTAAACCCTAAACCCTAAGCCTCAAGTTCCAGACCCCAACGTCTGAACCCTCAGTCCCAAACCCTAAACCCTAAACCCTCGGCGCGAAGCCCCTGGACCGGAGGCCCGACGCCCTGCGTCCCACCCAGCAAACCCCAAACCCTAAACCCTAAACCCTAAACCCTAAACCCTAAACCCTCGGCGGAAAGCCGCTGAACCGCAGGCGCGGCGCCCACTCCCCGAAGCCCCAAACCCTAAACCCTAAACCCTAAACCCTAAACCCTAGGGACCTCTGGGTGGCCTGGTTGAAGCAGCAATTCGGAAAAGAAGACACCAAAGAGTAAAGAAGACAAGTTGCTGCTCGAAGACACCGCCGCCGCAAAGACCCTCTGCAAGGGTCTAAGTACCGCAGCAAAGCGTCCACCAGCAGACACAAGCAGCAAGAACCCACCCACGGGTACCTGCAGCAGCAGCAGCAGCAGCAGCAGCAGCAGCAAAGGCAGCAGCAGCAGCAGCAAAAGCAGCAGCAGCAAAGCAGCAGCAGCAAAAGCAGCAGCAGCAGCAAAAGCAGCAAAGCAGCAGCAGCAAAAGCAGCAGCAGCAAAAGCAGAAAAGCAGCAGCAGCAAAAGCAGAAAAGCAGCAGCAGCAAAAGCAGCAGCAGCAGCAGCAAGAGCAGCAGCAAAGGCAGCAGCGGGAGCAGCAGCAACAGTACGGGCAGAAAGAGGAGAAGCAGCAAGAGTAGAAGCAGCAAACGCATAAGCAGCAAAAGCAAAAGCAGCGACGGCAAGGGAAACAGCCGCAAAAGGAACAGCAGCAGCAGCAAAAGCAACAGCAGCAGCAACAGCAGCAGCAGCAGCAATAGCAGCTGTGATTTCGTCTCGCTGTCTCGTTTGCCTTTTATTTGCTGCTGCTGCTGTTGCTGCTGCTGCTGTTGCTGCTGCTGCTGCTGTCTCCTTTTAATTTTGTCTTTATTTGTGTTTTTTGTCTCTTTTGCTTTTTCCTTTTTATTTCTTTTAATTCCATTTAATCCATTCAACTTATTATTCAATTTCATTTAATTGATTAATTTAATTAATTCAATTAATTTAATTAATTTAATTTAATTAATTTAAATTAATTAAATAAATTTAATTTAAATTAATTAATTTAAATTGATTTATTTTATTTTGCTTTTCTTACCGAGTGAAGCAATCCACAAGAAACAGCAGCGCAGGCGCAGCCAAGTGGCAATTTGTTTCTTCCATTCTGAAAAGCAAATTTAGAAAATAAAATAAATAAAATAAATAAAATAAATAAAATAAATAAAATAAATAAAATAAATAAAATGCAATTAAACAAAAAAGAAAAGATAGAGGAGCAGGGAGAACTGCACAAACTCCAGAGCTGCCTGCAGCAGCAGCAGCAGCAGCAGCAACTGCGGCACGAGCTGCAGTAGCAGCAGCAACTGCGGGAGCAGCAGCAGCAGCAGCAGCAACTACGGCAGGAGCTGCAGAAGCAGCAGCAACTGCGGGAGCAGCAGCAGCAGCACGAACTGCAGCAGCAGCACGAACTGCAGCAGCAGCAACAATAAACGAGTGCCACCTGCTGCAGCAACGGCAACGGAAGCAGCAGCAACTGCAACAGCGGGAACAATTTACATGCACCAGCAGCAGCAGCAGCAGCAGCAGCAGCAGCAGCAGCAGTGGCAGCAGCAGCAGCAGTACCTGGCTGCTCTAGAAAGGGCTTTAGTAGCGCCGGGCAAATCCATCCGCACGAGGCGCCGCAGCAGCGCAGCAGCAGCGGCAGCTACAGGACTTGCTGCTGCTGCTGCTGCTGCTGTTCCTTTCGCTGCTGCTGCTGCTGCTGCTGCTGCTGCTGGCTGCTCCTGCGTCAGCGGGAAGACCGCCAGCAGCAGCTGGTAGTACTGCAAAGCGCCCTGCAGCAGCAGCAGCAGCAGCAAAACGAACAAAGGACAAAAATGGAAAAATAAAAAAATAAAAAAATAAGAAAAGACTAAAAAGGGGACAAAAAGATTAAAAAACATTAAAAAGAATTAAAAAGAATTAAAAAGAATTAAACAGATTTAAAAAGATTAAAAAAGATTCAAAAAAGATTTTAAAAAGATTTCAAATAATTAATGCTCCTGCGTCAGCGGCTTCTGGCGGTCGAGCAGCTGGTAGTACTGCAAAGCGCCCTGCAGCAGCAGCAGCAGCAGCAAAACGAACAAAGGACAAAAATGGAAAAATAAAAAAATAAAAAAATAAGAAAAGACTAAAAAGGGGACAAAAAGATTAAAAAACATTAAAAAGAATTAAAAAGAATTAAAAAGAATTAAACAGATTTAAAAAGATTAAAAAAGATTCAAAAAAGATTTTAAAAAGATTTCAAATAATTAAAGAAAAGAAACAGCAAAGATAACAACCCTTCTGTGTGCAGCAGCAGCAAAAGGCCAAAATGAAAAAATGAGAAAATAAAATAAAATAAAAAACAAAAAGCAAAAATATAAAAAATAAAATTAAAAAAATGAATTAAATTCTCTTCAATTAACTTAAAATAAAGTAAAATGAAATAAAATTAAATTAAAAAAAAATAAAACAAAAATAAATAAATTAATTGAATAAAAATAAATAAATAAATAAAAATAAATAAATGAATAAAATAAAAGTAAATAAATAAATAAACAAGTAAATACATAAAAATAAATAAATAAAAAATGATAATAAAATGAAAAATAAATAAATAAATAAATAAATAATAAATAAATAAATAAACAAATAATAAAATAAAAAAAATAAATAAATAAAAGACTTCACCTGCTTTGAAGTTTCTTTTAAAAGCGGCTGCAAACGGGCCTTCCGGGCGAAGGCCTCGAGAAGCGCCAAAATGCCTAAAAGATAAATTAAATTAAATTAAATTAATTAAATTAAATTAAATTAATTAAATTAAATTAAATAAATTAAATTAAAATGAAATGAAATAAAATAATGGAAATAAAGGTAAATAAATAGAAAAAAAGGGGGAAAGACCCGCAGCGGATAGCAGCACCAGCAGCAGCAGCAGCAGCAGCAGCGGCAGCAGCAACAGCAAAAGCTGCTGCAGCAGCAAAGCCAGCAGCAGCAACAGCAAAAGCAGCAGCAGCAGCAGCAACAGCAGCAGCAGCAGCAGCAGCAGCAGCAACAGCAGCAAAGCCTTGCCTCTGCTTCTGAGGTGCTGCGGCTTCCAGAGAAGACCAACTCCGAGGGTCAGCAGCTTAAGGGCGAGGCAGAGGCGGCCGGCGGAGACAGCAGCAGCAGCTGCTGCTGCAGCAGAGGGAGCAGCAGCAGCAGCAGCAGCAGCAGCAGCAGCACCACCTGCTGCTGCTGCTGGAGGCGCTGCCAGAGACTCCAGCAAAATGATCCGCACCAAGTGCTGCGTGACGACAGCAGCAACGTCGATGCCCCCCACTGCAGCAGCAGCAGCAGCAGCAGCAACAGCAGCAGCAGCAACAGCAGCAGCAGCAGCAGCAAAACAGCAGCGCAGCTGATGAGGAGACACTTCAAGCAGCAAAAAAGGAAACCCCAAGGGGAAAATAGGCCTTAAACCCCAAACCCTAAACCCCAAACCCTAAACCCCAAACCCCAAACCCTAAACCCTAAACCCTAAACCCTAAACCCTCGTTTGCGTACCCCGGCTGAACTCAGGGCGAAGGTAAACCGCGTTGGCCAGCAGCACCAGAGCCGCGTCTACAGAGCAGGAGTGCTGAAGAAAAAAAAATAAAAAATAAAAAGATAAAAAAAAAGATTTTAAAAGAATTAAAAAGAATTAAAAAGAATTAAAAAGAATTAAAAAGGATTAAAAAGAATTAAAAAGAATTAAAAAGGATTAAAAGAAATTAAAAGAAATTAAATTGGACAAAAATGAACAAAAAGGACAAAAAGGGGAAAAAAAGATTTTAAAAAGTTGAAATATAAAAAAGAAATAAGGGAAAATAAAAAGAAATTAAAAGGAATTAAAAAATAAAAAGAAATAAAAGAAAAATAATTAAAATAAAAGATAAAAGAGGTAAAAGAAAAATAATTAAAAACAAAAATAAAAACAATAAAAAAAAAGAAATAAAAAAGACAACAGGAGGCGTCGATTGAGCCTATGCACCCGCAGAGCAACTAAACCCTAAACCCTAAACCCTAAACCCTAAACCCTAAACCCTAAACCCTAAACCCTAAACCCTAAAACCTAAACCCTAAACCCTAAACCCTAAACCCTAAACCCTAAACCCTAAACCCTAAACCCTAAACCCTAAACCCTAAACGGTAGAGCCTGACGCAGAACGGCAAAGACAGAATTCGATGAAATGCATTAATGTGTTTCGTGAAATGCCAACAGAGCGCATGCATGCATGCATGCATGCATGCATGCGTTTTGCATGCATGCGTTTTGCATGCATGCATGCATGCATGCATGCATGCATGCATGCATGCATGCATGCAGCACCTTTTTCAAAACCCCAATTAATGGTTTTTGAAGAATTAAAAAAAGCAAAAGGAGTTTAACTTTAAAAAAGACTTTTTGCTGCAGCAACATGAGGCCTTAGTTGGCAAATAAAATACCATTTGAGCAGCAGAAAGAATTAAATAAAAAAATAAAAAAAGAAAAAAGAAAAGAAAAATAAATAATTGGAAAGAGTTAAATAAAAAAATAAAAAAAGAAAAAAGAAAAATAAATAATTAGAAAGAGGAAAAGAGAAGCAGCAAAAGAAATAAAAAAAAGAAAAAATTAAAAAGATATTTTCTTCAGCTCACCCTGTGTGGCTCTCCTGTGGCAGCAGCAGCAGCAGCAGCAGCTGCTGCTGCTGCAGGGCCTATGCCCCAGGCAGCAGCGCAGCACAGCAGCCGCAGGGCGGCCTCGATGTCCAGCAGCAGGCTGCTGCTGCTGCTGCAGCAGATGGCGTGCTGCAGCAGCAAAAGAGCAGCAGCAGAAGCCTCTCCCGTGTCTCCCCTTGGAAGGCAAGAATAGGCGAGAGCGAAAAGGCTGATTGGAGCCACGCCCGTGTCTTGCTGCTGCTGCTGCTGCTGCTGCTGCAGCGGGTGCTCTGCTGCTGCTGCTGCTGCTGCTGCTGCTGACGGCGCGCCCAGCTGCTGCAGGCTGTGCAGCAGACACAGCTCGAAAGCAGCAGCAAGCTGCTCCGTGTCTTCTTTGTCCAGCTGCAGCAGCGGCAGCCAGCAGCAGCGCAGCAGCAAAGAAAAAGAAGAAAGACTTCTGGCCTTCAGCAGCGGGGAAGCAGCAAGAACTGGGGAGTGCTGCAGCAGCAGCGGGGCGGCGCCGGCGGCAGCCGCTGCCAGCAGCTGCTGCTGCTGCTGCTGCTGTTTCTCCAGGGTCGCCTTGTGCTGCTGCCAGCAGCAGCGCCTCGTCTCTCCAGGTTCCTCTTGCTGCTGCTGCTGCTGCTGCTGCTGCTGCTCCCGTGGAAGGCCAGCTCTGCTCCAGCCTGTAGCCGGACAACTCTATCATCCACAGCTGCTGCTGCTGCTGCTGCTGCTGCTGCTGCTGCTGCTGCTGCTGACGGCGTCTGTAAACAGCCGCAACCCGCTGGGAGAGGGTAGCGCTGGCAGCAGCAGCTGCTGCTGCTGCAGTTTTGCTGCTGCGCATGGCTGCTGTAGAGACACTCCAAGCCTGTGGGGCCTCCGGAATATTTGATAAGGCGAAAGAAGAGGAGACAGCCAAATCTAGAGCTTCGAAGAGTCGGCCTTGCTCTTCTGCTGCTGCTGCTGCTGCTGCTGCTGCTGCTGCTGCTGCTGCTGCTGGTGGGCGCGGCAGCGGGGGGGCCGCCGGGTGAACCGTCGAGTTCAGGCTGCGGAGAGATGGCATCCGCAGCGCAGCTTCCAGGAGGCTGTTGCTGCTGCTGCTGCTGCTGCTGCTGCTGCTGCTGCTGCTGCTGCTGCTGCGGATCACTTTCCCCTTGAGGTGCTGCTGCCAGCGCTGAAGCAAACGGCTCCGCACAGGAGCTGCTGCAGCAGCTGCTGCGCCTTCCAAGACGCCTGCAGCTGCTGCGTCCGCCCGAGCAGCAAGTGCTGCAGCAGCAGCAGCAGAGAGCGGCGCGCCCGCAGCGGCATTAAGGCTCACGTGGCAGTGCAGCAGGCCTTCTGCTGCTGCTGCTGCTGCCTCAGCAGCAGCAGCAGCAGCAGCAGCGAGAGAATCAGCTGCGGGCGCAGGGTGCAGCCGGCGCTGCAGGAGCACCTGGCGGGCGGCGCGCTGCGCAGCAGCAGCAGCAGCAGCAGCAGCTTGCTGCTGCTGCTGCAGCAAGTCCGCAGCCATTGCCTTCAACACCAAAGATGGCAAAGGAACTGACAAAGACATCTCCGCCCCCAGCAGCGCGGGATAAAGCGGCAGCGGCGGCTGCTGCAGGAAGGGAAACAGCAGCAGCAGCGCAGCATCTGCTGCAGCAGAAAGGCTGAAGGGCGCGAAGACCCCCGACAGCAGCAGCGCCTGCAGAGGCAAACTGCTGCTGCTGCTGCTGCTGCTGCTGCTGCTGCTGCTGCTGCTGAGCTGCTCCAGCGGGAGCATCAGCACCCCGCAGTTCGCGTACACGATGTGCTGCGCTGCGCCGCAGCAGCAGGAAGCGCAAGGCGCCTCAGCGGCAGCCGCTGCTGCTGCTGCTGCTGCTGCTCTTGGAGTTGCTGCTGCTGCTCCAGACATCTGCTGCAGCAGCGGGGACACCGCAGCAGCAGCGCCGCGGGGAGCGCTTCGCAGCAGCTGCTGCGGTATGCTGCACTGCAGCGAAGGGGCTGCGTGGCTGCTGCTTCCGCTTTTGCTGCAGTTCCCGCTGCACCCGCTGCTGCTGCTGCTGCTGCTGCTGCTGCGCAGCAGGAAGTCGCTTGTTGCTGTTGTGTCCCCCATTAGTTTCGGAGTGAAGACATGAGAGCCCAGAGGGCGCGCGAGGGCTTCGAGGTCTTGCTGGGCCTCGCTGGCTTGCTGCTGCTGCGGGAGGGTTTTCTGCTGCTGCTGCTGCTGCTGCTGCTGCTGCTGCTGCAGCGGGGCGCCGGGCCTGCAGCAGCAGCAGCAGCAAGAAGTCGTCGGCAGCTGCAAATGCCCCAAAGCCAAACCCCAACGCGTTAGCTCCATGTGGGGAGAAGAAGCAAAAAGGTTTTGGTTTTGTAAGAAGAAGCGGAACTGCTTGGGGGGAGCGTTTTGCTGCTGCTGCTGCTGCTGCTGCTGCAGCAGCCCGGGCAGCTGCACGAGAGGCAGCACCGACAGCAGCAGCCCCGACTGCACGCGCCACAGGAAAATGCTGCTGCTGGTGATGCAGCAGCAGCAGTCCGACAGCAAGTCTGCTGCTACCTTCTTGATGCGGCTGCTGCTGCAGTCGGGGTGCCGCTGCAGCAAAAAGACTCCCCGGGAGTTTGTGGGGCGCGGCACGTGCTGCAGCAGCAGCGGGAGGGGCCCCCCTGCTGCTGCTGCTCTGTGGTGTACAGACACTGGGGTTTCGGCGAAGCCGACGAGTTCCTGCCCCGCGTCTGCTGCTGCTGCTGCTGCTCCTGCTGCTGCTGCTGCCACTGCTGCTGTTGCTGCGGGCGTCAGCAGCTTGCTGCAGTCAATCAGGGCCACAGCGCCGCACACCGAAGCAGCAGCAAAGCACCAGCTGTCGTATGCTGCTCTGCTGCTGCCGCCAGCAGCAGAAAGCACTCGGAAAGCAGCAGCAGCAGCAGCTGGCAGCACCTGCGGCTGATATGCTGCAGCAGCAAATGTTGGCAAACGCCACAGCAGCACATCTCCGCTGTTGGTGAGGCCCCCCACCAGCAAGCTGCTGATGCTGCAGAGGGCAGTCACCACAGTTCGCTTGCCGCTGCAGCCGGGGGCCCCCCGTCCTGCTGCTGCTGCTGCTGCTGCTGCTGCTGCTGTTCCTGCTGCTGCTGCTGCTGCGATCCGCGGGTCCACGCAGCTAGCTGGCGTCGGCAGCAAAAAGATGGAGGGGTGCGGCCGCTCTGCTTCTGGCCAGGGCAGGGGCGGCCCACCCCCGATGCTGAAGCTGCTGCTGCTGCTGCTGCTGCTGCTGCTGCCGCCTGGCTCCTGCTGCTGCTGCTGCTGCTGCTGCCGCTGCTGCCGCTGCTTGCTTTTGCGAGAAGCATTTATTCGATTGAGGTGCAGCGCTGTGACGGCGCCGTCAGAAAAAGAAGCAATAAAATAAACCCCACCCTGGCTCTCAGCCAAGCAGCAGCTCACGCAGTGCTTGCTGCTGCTGCTGCTGCTGCTGCTGCTGCTGCTGCTGCTGCTGTTGGCTCCTGCGGCGAAAGGCCATCGCAGCAAGTGCTTGTGCCCGTTTACAGAGCCCCAAAAGGCTGCAGGCTCCGACAGCAGCCGCAGCCTGCTGCTGCTGCTGCTGCTGCTGCTGCTGCTATCTGCTGCTGCACCAAAGGCAGCAGAAGAGGGACTGAAGAGGAATGGCAAAGATAACTCCCGCCGCCACGCCACGAGGCTCCTGCTGCTGCTGCTGCTGCTGCTGCTGCTGCTGCCGTTGCTGTATCCACTGCAGCTGTTGCCGTTGCTGTTGCTGCCGCGGCTTATGCTGCGGCTCAGACTGCGGCTCGCGCTGAGACTCGTGCTGCCGCTGCTGCTGCTGCTGCTGCTGCTGCTGCTGCTGCTGCTGCTGCTGCTGCTGCTGCTGATTGGCTGCAGCGCCCCCCGCAGTGCTGTTGGAATGCGCCAGACCTCACTGAGACTGAAAGAGAAGGTGCCGCCAATGTCATCCCACACAGATGCATGCGATGCAGCAGCAGCAGCAGCTGCTGCTGCTGTTGCTGCTGCTGCTGCTGCTGCTGCAGTGGGGTGCTCTCGCAGCCACCAAGCCAAGGACAGCCGGTCCGGCCTGCTGGGAGTTACGCCCAGCACAGCCAGTCCCGCGCTGCAGCAGATCCCAGGAGCTTCCTCAGCAGCAGCAGCAGAGGCCGCTGCTGCTGCTGCTGCTGCTGCTGCTGCTGCTGCTGCTGCTGCTTCTGAAATGACGGGAAAGAAGACAGGCGCGGGGAGCGATGCTGTGTCTGCTGTCAGCAGCTGCAGCGGCACTGTGCCAAGCGCTAGGCCCGCCTGCCTCCCTGCGCTGAGGCCCAGCAGCAGCAGCTGCTGCTGCTGCTGCTGCTGCTGCTGCTGCGAATCTGGCAGAGACAAGGGGAAAAGGAAAAGACGGCCTCGCGAGGTGTAGGCGAGGAGAAGAGATTCTGCTGCAGCAAAAGCTGCAGCAGGACAGGCCCGGGAGCCCCCAAGCCACAGGGCTGGCGGCTCCAGCAGCAGCAACAGCAGCAGCAGCAGCTCTCAGCAGCGGGCGTAGCAGCAAAGCAGCGCGCTGCTGCGCCAGCAGCAGCAACAGCAGCAGCAGCAGCTCTCAGCAGCGGGCGTAGCAGCAAAGCAGCGCGCTGCTGCGCGCAGCAGCAGCAGCGCAACAGCAGCGGGTTAGGGCTCGCGCCAGGGCCAGAGGGCTGCTTACCTTGTGCGTGCAGCAGGAGCAGCCGACGTCGTGCTGCTGCAGCGCCTGCTGCAGCAGCAGCTGCTGCTGCTGCTGCTGCTGCAGCACAGGCGGCACCCAAGGCAGCGCATCTGCTAGGCAAAAAAGCTCTGCGTGGCGCTCAAAGGCCCCCCCGCTGCGGCGCTGCCACAGCAGCAGCCGCCTGCTGGTGCGCAGCACCAAGTAGGAAGCAGACACAGCTAGCTGCTGCTGCTGCTGCCTGCTGCAGCAGCAAAACGTGTCTCCGTCCAGGGTCCCCGTGGCTTCAAACACGGGGTCCACCAGCGGCGGGTCGTTCCTGCTGCTGCTGCTGCTGCTGCTGGTGCTGTTGAGGTGCGCGACGCCGCTGCTGCTGCCGTTGACGCTGCTGCTGCTGCTGCTGCTGCTGCTGCTCTGGTTTTGCTGCTGCAGCAGCGTGCTCTTCGTTGCTGCAGCAACAACAGCCAGCAGCTCGTCCGAAGACCGCAGCGCCCGGCCAGTCAGCGGCGGAGTCGCAGGGGCCCCCGCAACAGCGTGGGCCCTGCGCCAGCTTCGCAGCGTGCTTCTGCAGCAGCAGCAGCAGCAGCAGCAGCAGCAGCAAGGGTGCAGCAGCAGCAGCAAGGGCCCGCCGGCAGCAGCAAGGGTCCAGCAGCAGCAGCAGCAGCAGCAGCAGCAAGTACCACTAAAGTGCGCGCGACCACAGAGAGGCTCACGCTGCAGCCAAGTCGCGCAACTGACGAGCAGCAGCAGCAACAGCAGCAGCAGACTAGCAGCAGCAGCAACAGCAGCAGCAGCAGAAACGACAGCAGCAGCGAAGAAAGGCTCACGCTAAGTCCCAGAGTCTGAGGCAGCCGCAAGGGGCGACAGCAGCGCAGCAGACAGAGCCCATGAGGGGTGCAGGGAGGCCCCGCTGAGCAGCAAACGCAGCAGCAGCAGCTGCTGCAGCAGGACTCCGCTGCTGCTGCTGCTGCTGCTGCTGCTGCTGCTGCTGCTGCTGTGCTCCAGTTTCCTGTCCCTGAGAAGGGGAGTAGCTGGACGGTGCGGTGGAGGGATGCAGGGTTCCGTCAGAACTGTCTAGCCTTTGCTGCTGCTGCTGCTGCTGCTGCTGCTGCTGCTGCTGCTGTTGCTGCTGCTGCTGCTGGAGAAGCTTATGCTGTGAGGCCCCCGAGCGGCTTGTGGCTGTTTCAGCCTCACTGATGCGGTTGCTATGGAGGGGCCCCTCCTGGTAGCTGGGGGCCCTTTGGGGGCCCCCCAGAGAGGGCCCCTGGGGGCCCCCCGAGGGGGCCCTTTGGGGGCCCCCCTGGGGTTCCCCGGGGGGGCCCCCCGAGGGGGCCCCCAAAAGGTCTTGGTAAGCTGCAGTAAGTTTCTCTACCCATTCCTCTGCATCAAAGGGGGGCGGGGGCTGCGCAGCAACAGCAACAAGGCCCCCTGGGGGCCCCCCTGGGGGCCCCCCATGGGGGCCCCCCTGGGGTTCCCCGGGGGGGCCCCCGGGGGGGCCCCCCAGGGGGGCCCCGCACATTCCACAGCAGCCGGGGCCCCGGGGGGCCCCCGCCGGGGGCCCCCGAGGGTCTGCTGCTGCTGCTGAGGGCCCAGCGCATGCAGCAGCAGCGCCCGCGGGGGCCCCCAGGGGGCCCTCCTGAGGGCCCCTGGACCCCGAGGGGCCCCCCAGGGGCCCCCCCGGGGGGGCCCCCATGGGGCCCCCCTGGGGGGCCCCCGGGGGGCCCCCCGCGGGGGCCCCCACGGGGGCCCCCGGCAGCAGCAATTCGCAAACTGCAGCAAAGGCTGACCAGGTGTCTAAGACGAGGGCCCTCGAGGGTCCTGAAGGAGAAAAGAAATGAAAATAAAAAAGAAAAAAGAAATAAAAAGAAAAGGAAAAAGAAATAAATAAATAAATAAAATAAAATAAAATAAAATAAAATAAAAAAGAAATAAAAAGGATTTAAAGGAGAAATAAAAGAATCTTTAAGAAATGCAAAAAGGAAATTAAAAGAAAATAAAAAAAGACAAAAAAGAATTTTAAAAATAAAAATTAAAATTAAAATTAAAAAAAAGCCGCAGCAGCAAAATTGCTGCAGCAGCAAAAGCGAATATATAAAAGCAGCCACTTGGGAGAAAAAGCATTTAACAAATAAATCAATTTAATTAATTAATTAATTAATTATTTTAATTAATTAATTAATTAAAATAAATAATTAATTAATTTAATTAATTTAATTAATTTAATTTAATTAATTAATTTAATTTAATTTGTCACCATGGGCCAACACAAAGCGAGGGTCCGCCAGAGTCTGTACAGCAGAAGCTTCGAAGGGCAGACGCCTGCAGCAAACGCGCACCTGCTGCTGCTGCTGCTGCTGCTATTGCTGCTGCTGCTGCTATTGCTGCTGCTGCTGCTGCTATTGCTGCTGCTGCTGCTGCTGCTATTGCTGCTGCTGCTGCTGCTGCTATTGCTGCTGCTGCTGCTGCTGCTGTTGCCGCCGGTATTGCCGTGGCTATTGCTACTGCTATTGCTACTGCTACTGCTGCTGCTGTTGCTGCTGCTATTGCTGCTGCGATTGCTGCTGCTATTGCTGCTGCTGTTGCTGCTGCTATTGCTGCTCTGCTGCAGCTGCTGCTGCTTTTGCTGCTGCTGCTATTGCTGCTCTGCTGCAGCTGCTGCTGCTTTTGCTGCTGCTGCTATTGCTGCTGCTATTGCTGCTCTGCTGCAGCTGCTGCTGCTTTCGCTGCTGCTGCTGCTGCTGCTGCAGGCAACAGGCTCCGGCAGGCAGAAAAAGCCCGAACAGCAGGGCAGCAAACATAATTAATTAATTAATTAATTAATTAATTAGCTAATTAATTAATTAATTAATTAATTAATTAATTAATTAAAAAACTAATTAATTAATTAATTAATTAATTAATTAATTACCTGGAGACGAGACACCTGCCCTCCGTGAGGGACCAGAGGCGGACCCTGGAGTCGGAGTGTATAGACACCAGAAGCTCCTGGCTGGTGGACTGCAGCGCAGCAAGAGGAGCAGCAGCAAAACATGCTGCTGTTGCTGCTGCTGCTGCTCCCCACTCCGGCAGCAGCACCAGGTGCGGCAGCAGCAGCGGGCTGCGCCCAACCGCGCTGGCGGCGCTGCTGCTTGCTGCTGCTGCTGCTGCTGCTGCTGCTCCGGCCCCCGCTGCTGCTGCTGCTCGCTTCGCTGCTGCTGCTGCTGCTGCTGCTGCTGCTGCGCAGCCGGGGGTCTGGCTGGCTGCAGCAGCAAGTCCCGCAGCAGCAGCAGCAGCTACGGCGGCCTCATCTTCGTGGGCAGCACAGCAGCGCTCGTTGCCGCCGCTCCCGCCCCCGCTGCCGCCGCCGCCGCTGCTGCTGCTGCTGCTGCTGCTGCTGCTGCTGCTGCAGCAAAGGTCCTGTTTGCTGCTGCTGAGCTGCCACAGGTATAGGGGCCCCTGGTGAGTGCCAGTGACGCAAAGAGAAGAAAAAGAAGAGACACTTAAAGAGGAGACAGCAGCAGCAGCGCACAAGTCCGGCCACACCAGCGAGGCCAGCCACTTGGGGTCCATCATCTGCAGCAGCAGCAGCAGCAGCAGCAGCAGCAGCTGCTGCTGCTGCTGCTGCTGCTGTGTTTGCGCTGCAGATGCAGCAGCAAACGGTGCGTCTGCGGACGCGGCTAAAAGCTTCTAGCAATTCTTTGGAAGGGCTGCTGTCGCTGCTGCTGCTGCTGCTGCTGCTGCTGCTGCCGATGCTGCTGCTGCTGCTGCTCGCACTCCTGCAGCGTTGCTGTTGCTGATGAAGGGCTACAGCAAAGTTGAGAACCTCCCGAGCTCTTAGCTGGCGCTACTTGTGCTGCCGGCGCCAGTCTGCTGCTGCTGCTGCTGTTGCTGCTGCTGCTGCTGCTGCTGCTGCTCGTCTTAGCACTGCAGCAGCTCACGGGAACCCGCGGCAGCAGCTCGGTGCTGCTGCTGCTGCTGCTGCTGCTGTTTTAGTTTGGCTTTCAAATGTGTATTTCTAAGGCGAAGGCGGCTGCGCAGCACTGCAGCAACGCGCAGCCGCGGGGGGCCCCCGGGCAGCGCCTGCTGCTGCTGCTGCTGCTGCTGTTGCTGCTGCTGTTGCTGCTGCTGCAGCAGCTAACAGATCCCCTGTACTGAAGCTCTTGCTTTTATTGATGTGTGGCCAGACCGCCTTATCATTGCTTGCTGCTGCTGCTGCTGCTGCTGCTGCTGCTGCTGCTGCTCTCAGTGCCGCCGCCAACCCCCCCTTGCTGTTGTCTTGCTGCAGGGGGGCCCCACGGGGCTGCAGTGTCTCATAATCTGCTCTTTTTGTTTATTAATTCTTTTTTTAACTTTTAATTATTTATTTTAATCTCAAGTTGCTGCTGCTGCTGCTGCTGCTGCTGCTGCTGCTGCTGCCGCACACACACAGACCCGCCCCCGCCGCCACCGTGTCTTGCTGCTGCGCCATGCGCCCCCGACATCGCCCCCGACATGCAGCAGCAGCAGCAGCAGCAGAGGCCTTCGCTGTGGGGCCCCACACCCCCGCCTTTCTCTCCGTAGCCCTGGAGCCACAGGGGCCCCTCCGGGGGCCCCTCCGTGCTGCTGCGCAGCCCGCAGCAGCAGCAGCAGCAGCAGCAGCAGCTCTGTCGCCCGTGTCTGTCCACGCCCCCACAGCAGCAGCAGCAGCAGCAGCAGCAGATTCTGCTGCTGCTGCTGCTGCTGATGAGGAGGAAGAAGAAGCAGGAGAGGTCCGCAGGAGAAACGCAGCAGCAAATGCTTGTCTTTGAGTTTGCTGCTGCTTCTTTCTCTTTTCATTTCTTTTTATTTTATTATTTCTTTATTTCTTTTTATTTCTTTTTATTTCTTTTTTATTTCTTTTTATTTCTTTTTTATTTTCTTTTTTGCTGCGCTGCTGTATGGTCTTTCGCGCCGGCTGCTGCGAGGTGTACATACACCCCAGCTTCTGACCCAGGCGGGCTCAGCCAGAGCTGCAGCAGCAGCAGCAGTAAATGCTGCAGCAGCAGCAGCAACTGCAGCAGCAGCAGCAAATGCAGCAGCAGCAAATGCAGCAGCAGCTGCAGCAGCAGCTGCAGCAGCATCGCAGCAGCAGCTGCAGCGGCCCAACGTACCACTGGCGTGTGTCTGACTGTTCCCCAGGCCAGCGACTCGGGTCTAGGGTTTAGGGTTTAGGGTTTAGGGTTTAGGGTTTGTAGGTTTGTTTGCAGGAGAGTTCGTCTTGGACGGTGACGCAGCAGCAGCTGCTGCAGCAGGTGGCAGCAGACACGGGCCTTTCAGCAGCAGCAGCAAAAAGGGTTTTGCAATCTTTGCAGCAGCAAATAACAAAGGGTTTGCAAAAAGGAAAAAGGGTTTACATTTCAAAATTAGGGTTTTTCGCGCTGCGCCGCAGGGGCCCCCGCCAAACCCGAAACCCTAAAACAGGGGTTTCTCTCCAAACCCCTGCAGCAACTTTTCCTTTCTTTGCTGCTGCGAAGCATTTAAAAGCAGCAGTGCGGGACTCGCTGCCTCTAAACCCTAGCCCCCGCCGCGGGGCCCCGCAGCAGCAGCAGCAGCAGCAGCAGCAGCAGCAGCAGCAGCCGCTGCAGCAGCAGCAGGTGCAGCAGCAGCAAGTGCAGCAGCAGGTGCAGCAGCAGCAGAAGAAAAACAGCTCCAAGCTGTTCGGCTGGATGCCCTGAATGCAAGCGGGACTGCCACGGACCCTAATAACCACCCTAGGGTTTAGGGTTTAGGGTTTAGGGTTTAGGGTTTAGGGTTTAAGGGACCTCTGGAGGCGCTGCCAGTTCGCAGTGTGGCCCACATGCCTCAAACCTCCTTTTGTTTCACTATTCGTTTTTTCCTACGTGGTTTGCATGGGGGTTTAGGGTTTAGGGTTTAGGGTTTAGGGTTTAGGGTTTAGGGTTTGCTGCTTTAAACGGCCAAGGGTTCAGTATTTGCTGCTCCAGTTGGTATAGGGTTTAGGGTTTAGGGTTTGGGGTTGAGGGCTTCAGGCTGTTCGGGGTTTAGGGTTTAGGGTCTGCGACTGTAGATGATCTAGGGTTTGGGCTGGCCCTCTGCGTGGCGGATTGGCTTAGGGTTTAGGGTTTAGGGTTTAGGGTTTAGGGTTTGGGCTCGTAGCCAGAGTAGTTGGCGCGTGGGGGGTTAGGGTTTGGGGTTTAGGGTTGAGGGTTTGTGGAGGTCTAGGCTTTAAGTGACTTAGGGTTTAGGGGCTTATTAGGGTTTGGGTTTGGGCTTTTAGGGTTTGGGTGAGATTGGGAGAAGCTTCTGTCCGAGGTTTAGGGTTTAGGGTTTAGGGTTTAGGGTTTGGGATGAAGGGTCTCGAAGTGAGCGACCTTCTAATTCCCAGCAAACCCCCGAGTTTGCGGGCCTAGGGTTTGTGGTTTAGGGTTTAGGGTTTAGGGCTAAGAGTCTAGGGTTTAGGGTTTTCCGAGGGTTTGGGGTTTAGGGTTTGGCGGGACCGGTGGTTTTGGAGCGCGCTCGCCGAGACGCCGAGTGGACATGCGCGCGGCGGTAGGGTTTAGGGTTTAGGGTTTAGGGTTTAGGATGCTTTGATGCCGTGGCGTTTATACTTTGGATTTGAAGGGAAAAGGCTGAAATTAGGGTTTAGGGTTTAGGGTTTAGCGCCTGTGTGGAGAGCTAGCTGGGGGCCCCCGAGGCCCCAATCCAGCGAGGCGCTGGGGTGTACGTACACCGCGGACCATTGGTCCACTCGCGTAGTTCGTTTGGAGTTGAATTTGCATTTAAAATGAAATTCATTTTAATTTAAATTAATTAATTTCGTTTATTCTTTCTGGGAGCTGTCGATACACCGCGCGGCGACCGCCAGTGACCTCCCCTGGCGGCTGCTGCTTTCGGGTGTACGTACACCTCAGGGGGTTCCGAGGCTTCGCGAAACTTTCTTTTCGACTTTTCACTTTTCTTTTTTGTTTGTTTTTTCTTTTGAGTTTCAAAAAAGAAAAGCCTTTTTGCCAGCAGGGCCCGAGCTCGGGGGTTCGAACCCTGGCAGCAGCACTTCCAGCTGTGAAATTCGAGCGCTTCTTTGCTGCAGCGCTGCAGCAGCAGCGGCAGCAGCGGCAGCAGCAGCACTCGAACTGCAGCAAACCCTCAACTCCCAAAGGGCCCTCCCAGCCAAAGACTCTCAAGGCACTCCTTCGCTGCTGCCCTCCAGCCCTTCTGCTGGAGTTCACGTTTGGTCTCGCCAAGACGCTTACTTCGCCAGCGTCCCCACAGGCGCGCCAAACCCTAAACCCTAAACCCTAAACCCTAAACCCTAAACCCTAAACCCTAAGCCCTAGGCTTTGGGCTGTGGTGCGGGTTGAGGGGTAAAGCTGAGCGACAAGCGGCAGCCCGCGAACGCGCGCAGTGTTAAGCGTTTTAGGGTTTAGGGTTTATCGTGCTTTAGGGTTTGCTAGGGTTTAGAAACCCTAAACCCTAGTAAACCGCCAAAAGTCCCAGGCCCTACTAAACCCTCCAAAGGGTTTAGTGGGGCCTGGGACTTTTGAGGGTTTACGAAACCCTCCAGAGGGTTTACTAGTGTTGGGGGTTTTTCACGGTCTGGGGCGCTTCAGGGGTCACCTTTTTAGGGTTTAGGGTTTAGGGTTTAGGGTTTAGGGTTTAGGGTTTGCCTGCAGAGTGCTACTCGGAAATAAACACTTTCCGGACTGCAGAACTCAGCAGCAGCAGCTTCGGAAGATAGGGTTTACTAGTGTTGGGGGTTTTTCACGGTCTGGGGCGCTTCAGGGGTCACCTTTTTAGGGTTTAGGGTTTAGGGTTTAGGGTTTAGGGTTTAGGGTTTGCCTGCAGAGTGCTACTCGGAAATAAACACTTTCCGGACTGCAGAACTCAGCAGCAGCAGCTTCGGAAGATTAGCAGCAAATAAGGACTTGGGAGATTCTGCAAGAGCCACTGTTAAAGAACTGGCAAGAGATGGCTGCAGAAAGGCAGCCACAGCCACGGGCAAAGAGGCAAGCCAAACCCTAAACCCTAAACCCTAAACCCTAATATGCAAACCTGAACGTCTGAGGCTTAAACCCTAAAAATTAAGGCCTGAACCCTAAACCCTAAAGCTTAAGGCTTACAGCCTAAACCGTGAAGCCCAGGGCCTGAAACCTAAACCCCAAACCCTAAACCCTAAACCTTAAACCACAAAGTAGCGGTTGGCGGGCTGCGAATTCAGCAGCAGCAGCAGACACAGAAAAGAAAAGGGAGAAGCAGAAAAAAAGAAACAAAAAGATAAAATTAAAAGAAGACAAAAAGGGACAAAAATATTAAAATGAAAAGAGAGAAGGAACAGCTGCTGCTGCAGCTGTTTCGGGCCTTGCTGTTCATTCTGCATCGGATTCTGCTGCTTCTGCCTCTGTTGCTGCTGCTGCTGCTGCTGCTGCTGCTGTTCCTTTTTTTGTTTCCGCTGCTGCCGCTGCCGATAGCCAAACAGATCTTGCCTCCTTTCCCGGTACAGTGCAGTTTCTAGGGTTTAGGGTTTAGGGTTTAGGGTTTGGGGTTTGTGTGCGCAGATTGGGGGTTTGCTGCTGCACTTCGAAGCCACGCTGCCGCAGTGTCTTCATTTGCTGCACCAGACGGTGATGGAATGCACTCACGAGTGGGGGAGGTGAGGCTGCCTTTGCTGCTGCTGCTGCTGCTGTTGCTGTTGCTGCTGCTGCTGCTGCTGTTGCTGCTGCTGCTGCTGTTGCTGCTGCTGCTTCTGCTGCTGCTGCTGCTGCTGTTGGTGATGGTGATGGTGCTGGTGCTGTTGTTTCTGCTGCTGTTGCTGTTGTTGCTGCCGTTCTTGCTGCTTCTGGTGCTGCCGCGTGTGTTGCTGCTGCTGCTGCTGCTGCTGCAGACTCCTGCTGTTGCTGCTGCTGCGCGTGCCGTGATGTGCTGCTGCTGCTGCTGCTGCTGCTGCTGCTGCTGCTGCAGCTCGCCACCCCCGTTGTACGGCGAAGACGCGGCCTGGTCCAGCCCTGCTGCCTTTGCATGCGGTTTGCTGCTGTCAAACAGCAGCAGCAAAATTGGCTGCGGCTTTTCTCACGGCTGCCCCCACTTGAACTTTCTTGTTTGCTTCGTAGATAAGCCCCCCGCAGAAGGAGACGAAGTCTTCTCGTAAGCTGCTGCTGCTGCTGCTGCTGCTGCTGCTGCCGCTGCTGCTGCTGCTGCTGCTGCTGCTGCTGCTGTTCATGCTGGTGCTGCTGGTGGCTGCTGGCTGCTTCTGTAGGTGCTGCTAGAGGTGCTGCTGCAGGTTATCTTTCTGCTGCTGTCACTGCTGCTGCTATGAGTGCTGCTGCCTCTCTTGCGGCTGCTGTTGCTGCTGCTGCTGCTGCTGCTGCTGCTGCTGCTGCTGCTTGGTGCCGATTTGCTGGTTTTCTTGATGCCGCCGCTCCCTCGTCAGCAGCGACCGGCTGCGTAAGCTGCCACCCAAGCAGCAGCAGCAGCAGCAGCAGCAGCAGCAGCAGCCGCTTTTGTGTGTGTTTGCTGCTGCTTGCTGCTGCAGCGCTGAACAGTATGCTGCGCTGCTGCAGCGGCAGGCAAAGGGCATCGATCGCTGCTGCCTGGAGGCACTTTGCTGCAGCCTTTTTCTTCAGGGTTTATTTTGGTTTCTGTGGCCCTGGGGTTGCTTTCTTGGGGCACCTTCTAAACCCTAAACCCTAAACCCTAAACCCTAAACCCTAAAGAGTGGCTTTGCCCGCTGCAGAGGGAGGGCCTTAAGGGCTTCGCGCGGCTCCTGAGGGGAGCACCTCAAGCCCGAGGAGGGCATCCTTTGACGCTCAAGGGTTTAGGGTTTAGGGTTTAGGGTTTAGGGTTTAGGGTTTAGGGTTTGCCAAGTGGGCGCCTGCGCCATTTGCTCATCTGTGCAGTTTGTTTTGACCGCAAGGGCCAAAGAGCCTTGATGGAAGAGCTGCTTCTGCGTCGAGGGTTTAGGGTTTAGGGTTTAGGGTTTAGGGTTTGCAGCAGCTAAGAAACAGCGGCGGGCGCAGAGGCAGTCCCCTTTAGCGGCCCTCCTGGCTGCTCTCCAAAACACTAAACCCTTATTCCTTTTCTAGCGGCCTCTCAAGCTTTTTTCTGAGGGTTTAGGGTTTAGGGTTTAGGGTTTAGGGTTTAGGGTTTAGGGCTTAGCTTTCTGCAGCGGCAAGCAGCGAGAAAACAGAAGCAAAAGTAATGGAGATTAACTGCAGCAGCAAAAGGAATGAAAACTAAGTGCAGCAGCAAAAGGAATTGACTGAGTGCAGCAGCAAAAGGAGACAGCAGCAGAGCTGCAGCGGCAGCAGCACGACTCCAGCAGCAAATGCAGCTGCAGCAGTCGCAGCAGCTACAGCAGCAGCAGCTAAAGCAGCAGCAGCAGCAGCAGCTAGAGCTAAAGCAGTGGCTAGAGCAGCAGCAGCGTGCGCAGTAGCTAGAGCAGCAGTACCATCCACAGCAGCAGCAGCAGCTACAGCAGCAGCAGCTACAGCAGCAGCAGCTACAGCAGCAGCGGAAACAGCAACAACAGCAGCAGCGGCAACAGCAGCTGCTGCTGCTGCTGCTGGCTTGTGGCTCTGTGGCGGAGTGGTGGCACAAACCAGTGGAATGGGCAGTCTCCATTCAGCTGCTACAGCTAGCTACCCAGCTAGCTAGCCAGCTAGCTAGCCAGCTAGCTACCCAGCTAGCTAGCCAGCTAGCTAGCTGCTGCGTCTTTGTATATATAGCTAGCTGAGCTAGTGGCCTCGGAGGTGCTGCTGCTGCAGCTAGTTGCTTGTTTCGAAGCTGCAGCTTTTAGGCCGCGAGGAGTTCCTTATTTTGCATTACGCACTGGCTAGCTGCAGCTAGCCGTGGCTAGCTGGCTAGCTGGAGCTAGCTGGCTAGCTGGAGCTCCATCCATATGCAGCTATCTCTAGCTAGCTCTGGCTAGCTCTAGCTAGCTCTAGCTAACTGCAGCTAGCTAGATCCAGTTAGTCGCAGCTAGCTAGCCAACTGCATCTGACTGGATTTAGCTAGCTGATCTAGTTAGATGCAGCTAGCTAGCTACGGTTAGCTAGCTACAGCTAGCTAGCTGCAGCTAACAGCACGTGTCTTCATTGAGGCGTTGCAGAAAGAATTAACTGCTGCTGCTGCTGCTGTAGATGCTGCTGCTGCTGCTGCTGTGGATGCTGCTGCTGCTGCTGCTGTGGATGCTGCTGCTGCTGCTGCTGCTCTAGCTACTGGGGGTACAAAATGAGCTGGTTGTCCTTTGAGGCTGCCTATACACCTCAAGCTGCCTGTACACCTCAAGCTGTCTGTACACGTGGAGCTGCCTATACACCTGGAGCTGCCTATACACCCGAAGCAGTCTGTACACCTGGAGCTGCCTATACACCTCAGACTGTCTGTACACCTCAAGCTGCCTATACACCTGAAGCAGTCTGTACAACTGGAGCTGCCTGTACACCTCAAGCTGTCTGTACACCTCAAGCTGTCTGTACACCTCAAGCTGTCTGTACACCGCAGGCTGCTGCTGAGCTGCAGCAGAAGAGCGTGGAACTCGCGCCTTGTGCCGCTTTTGTGTGCAAAAAAGCCTGAAATACACTTTTAAAGAAGCAAAATATAATTATAAATTCTAATTAGGAACTAAGTCCCCTTCAGAAGAAGAAACAAAAGAAATCTGAAACCCGAGATCAGCTGCTCCCAGTGGAACGGTAGGCTGAGGTGTACGTACACCTGAAACGAGACGCCTAGAGCCCTCAATTGGAATTAAAATGTTTTTAAAATAAATTTATTTATTTAATTCTTTTCAACAAACGAAATGGCTATCTTGGCTGCCTGAGCGCAGGGGCGCCTATCGCAGGAGCGGGGGGTCACCTGCCCGCTCCCCCCTTAGGGTTTAGGGTTTAGGGTTTAGGGTTTAGGGTTTAGGGTTTCAGGCCTCTTTCTATTTTTATCGTTTATTCCTCAAAGACACTCGGGTTAAGCGCTTTTCTCCCCCTTTTCCGGCCTAGCTCTGTGCTCCGCTGCCTGCCGCGGCACGGCGAGGGTTTAGGGTTTAGGGTTTAGGGTTTAGGGTTTGTGGCCACCCCATTTTTAAGGTTTTAAGATAACCCTTTTGGTCCTTTTCTATACACTTCTGCGGTTAATAAAAAGCCCTCCGTCTCTTCTCAGGTTGGCCTGCTGCGAAGGCAATACGTTTAAGGTTTATTAACAAGGGTTTAGGGTTTAGGGTTTAGGGTTTAGGGTTTAGGGTTTAAGGTTTGCGCGTATGTACTATGAGGGACCCTCCAAAGCGCCGCCTTGCCAGCTGCATATGGCGACCTCTGGTGGCTGTAGCTGTTGCTGGCGCTCTCTGTGCTGCTGCTGCTGAGCAGCAGCAGCAGCAGCAGCAGCAGCAGCAGCAGCAGCACGTGGCAGCAGGTGAGGGGCGAAGTCTAGCGCCTGTTGCTGTGGTTGGTTTGCTTCTGCCGCTGCTTCTGTTGCTGCTTGCCCGGTGAACTGCTGCTGCATCTGCTGCGGGTTTGCTGCTGCTGCAGGCCTCGTGCCAGCAGCAGGAAGAGCCCTGCAGCTCCCGCTGCTGCAGTCTGTCTTTGGCAGCAGCAAATCTCCTCTGGGCTTTATTTCCGAAGCAATTCAAAAAGCCCCCACGCCGAAGACAGAAGACCCCACAGGGATTATCAGCGGCTTCTCAGCAGACGACTCCCTGCAGCAGCAGCAGCAGCAGCAGCAGCAGCAGCAGGAGCAGCAGCAGCAGCCGCAGCAGCAGGAGCAGCAGGCAGAGCAGCTGAACCCGCAGCAGCAGCAGCTCCTGGAGCACCTGCTGCTGCGGCCTGCTGCAGCGCTGCAGCCAGCAGCAACAACGCCTGTTGCAGCAGCAGCTGCTGCAGCAGGGCCCACTGCAGCAGCACCACTCATCGGAGCGAAAGCAGCAGCAGCTCCAAATGCAGCAGCAACACTTTTCTTCGGAGCTCCGCTGCTGCCGCTACAGCAGGTAGATCCAAAGCAGCAGCAGCAGCAGCAGCAGCAGAAGCTGCCGCAGCTGCAGCAACTGCCTTTTCAGCAGCAGCAGGTGCTGCCGCCGCAGCAAGAGCACTCACAACTACAGCAGCAGCAGCAGCAGCAGCAACAGCAGCCACAGCAGATGCTAGAGGAGCCCCAGCAGCAGCAGCAGCCCCAGCAGCAGGAAGAGCCACAGCAGCAGCTGCCAATCGCGCAGCAGCAGTGGCTACAGCAGCAGCTGCAGCAGGAACAGTCCCAGCCGCTGCTTCCTGAGCAGCTGCAACCACAGCAGCAGCAGTTGCAGCAGGAGCACCCGCAGCAGCAGCAGCAGCCGCAGCAGCAGCAGCAGCCGGAGCAGCAGCAGCAGCAAATCGGACAGCCTGAGGCACCGGAAATTATAGCTGGAGACGCTGCAGCAGTACAAGGCAGCGCTGTGCCGAACTCGGAAGCAGCAGCTACTGCTGCTGCTGCTGCTGCAGCTGCAGCTGCAGCAGAAGCAGCAGCAGCACCACTGCCACCTTACGGACCGCCGCAGCCACAGGAAGTGCAGCAGCAGCAGCAGCAGCCTCTGCAAGAAGAGCCGCAGCAGCCGCAGCAGCAACAGATGGCCTCGCAGCAGCAAGACCTGCTGCAGCCTTTCCCTGAGATACCCTTGGAGCAGCTGCAGTCAGAGTACCAGCAGCAGCAGCCGCAGCAGCAGCAGCAGCAGCAAGAAGCACAGCAGCCCCTCCAGCAGATGCCGCAGCAGCTTCCACCGCAGGTGCAGCAGCTGCCGCTACAGCAGCCGATGCAGCAGCAGCAGCAACAGCAGCAGCTGCCGCAGCTGCTCGCAGCAGCAAGACCTGCTGCAGCCTTTCCCTGAGATACCCTTGGAGCAGCTGCAGTCAGAGTACCAGCAGCAGCAGCCGCAGCAGCAGCAGCAGCAGCAAGAAGCACAGCAGCCCCTCCAGCAGATGCCGCAGCAGCTTCCACCGCAGGTGCAGCAGCTGCCGCTACAGCAGCCGATGCAGCAGCAGCAGCAACAGCAGCAGCTGCCGCAGCTGCAGCAGCCCCCACAACCGTTGGAACAGCCGCAGCAGCAGCCGCAGCTGGAATTGGGACAGCCATTGCTGCAGCAGCAACCGCTGCAGCAGCAGCCGCTGCAGCAGACACTGCAGCAGGAAGGGACTCTACTGCAGCAACTGCCGCAGCAAGAGGCCCCTGCACTACTTCCAGTAGCGCAGCAAACGCTGCAACAAGTGCAGCAAGAGCAGCAGCCACTGCAGCAAATACAGCAGCAGCAGCAGGAGGTCTTGCCATCATTGCAGCCATCCCCACAGCAGCAGCCTTTACAGCAGCAGCCACTGCAGCAGCAGCCACTGCAGCAGCAGCCACTGCAGCAGCAGCCACTGCAGCAGCAGCAGCCACTGCAGCAGGAGATCCTCCAACCACCGCCGCCGATGCAGCAGCCGCTGCAGCAGGAGACCCTCCAGCAGCCACCGCTGCTGATGCAGCAGCCGCTGCAGCAGCAGCCACTGCAGGAGCAACTACTGCACCAGCAGCAATTGCAGCAGCAGCCGCTGCAGCAAGAGTTTCCCCTGCAGCAGCAAGCGGTCCAGCAGCAGCCGCTGCAGCAAGAATTTCCCCTGCAGCAGCAACCGGTGCAGCAGCAGCCGCTGCAGCAAGAATTTCCCCTGCAGCAGCAGCAGCTGCAGCAGCAGCCGCTGCAGCAAGAATTTCCCCTGCAGCAGCAGCAGCTGCAGCAGCAGCTGCTGGAGCCACAGCCAGGCTACCAACGGCAAGACGCGTTGCCGCCGAAGCCTTGGGAGCAGCAACCCCTAGAGCAGCTGGCGCTGCAGCAGCAGCAGCTGCAGCAGCAGCCGCTGCAGCAGCAGCCACTGCAGCAGCCGTTGCAGCAGCAGCCGCTGCAGCAGCAGCCGTTGCAGCAGCAGCCGAGCTACCAGACGGAAGAGCAGCTCCAGCAGCAGCTGCAGCAACTGCAGGAGCAGCAGCAGCTGCTTTTGCAGCAGCTGCAGCAGCAGCAGGCTCACCAGCTGCAGCCGGAGCAGCCGCTTGGCTTGGAGCAGCAGCCCGGATGGTCGCAGCAGCAGCAGCAGCTGCTGCCGCTGCAGCAGCAGCAGCTGCTGCCGCTGCAGCAGCAGGAAGCCAAAAGCACGGAGAGTTTTGCTGCAGAGGCCCCTGAGCTGCTGTCTTCTTACCTTGAGGGGGCCCCCCTAAAGCATGTGCCTTTGCATGCGCCTGGGGCTGTGCCGCCGCTGCAGCAGCAGCAGCAGCAGCAGCAGCAGCAGGGGCTGCTGC